CGGGATGTGGGCTGGGAGTCGCGGAACCGCACGGCGCAGCCGGAATGAGCCGGCCTTGAGACCACGTCCGGGACTGCTCGCTTAGTACTTGACAAGCGTTTTTGGGGTGCATCACTGTATGCAGTCTTCCCAGGCTCCCACTCTTAATCTTATCACCTTGAAGAAAGCGGGAGGGGGGCAGGGGGAAAGGCGTGCCAGGAGCTTTACTTTGGGGTCGCACCATTTCTTTATATAACACTTCCAGTTGTGAGAACTGACGAAGAACTGCCCACGATGTGTTCGAGCTGCGACGTGCAGGGAGTCTCGGTAGTTCTAAGCAAACGCCCAGCGTCTGAGTGGAGACGGGGACCGCGGGGTGACGCATTTTGGCGTTTCCCGCAGGTTATTCTCAGCGGCTGCCGCCTTCCTCAGAGTTCCTTCCTTTGGCTGCCCGCTCATGTGCGCAGTATTAGGGACTGTTTCCGGGGCTAGGAGAGAGGGACGGTTCTGGTCAGCTTCTCCATCCTCTGAACCAGTCCGTTAAGCTGTTCAGTGGAGCTGAGATAGGTGGGCTTGGCTCGGCAGTGGAGCGACTGCGTCCACACTCTGGACGTCTGAGGCCAAGCCCAGACCTACCCGGCAGTGTCGGGGGAAACTTGAACCAGGAGGAGTCGGTGATGAGCGCTGTAGATCTCCAGGAGACCAGAGCCGGGAGGGTCACTTACGTGTACAGGGACATCTCTAGGGCACTATTCCTATTTAAAACGATCTGCTCCGGGGCCAGCAGGCGGCATAGCGGTAAGACGCTGAACTCCCACGTGACTGAGCAGGGCTCTGGTCCAGGACCTGCTACCTTGAAAGTCACTCCAGGTCCCTGTGTGCCCAAAATCCCAGGAGGAGAGTGGAGGACAGGGGGTTGCAGTATGGGCGTCCTAACCCCCGCCCCCAGGAATGATCTCACTTCGAAGCAGGCACGACCATCTTGGAGGAGTGCCTCCTTTATAAACTGTTCTGCTTCCGTAATGCACTCTTGCTTGCTTTCGCTTTTACAGTTGCAAAATCTGCCCCCTCCCCTTCCAAGCCCACCTCACTTTGTCCCTGTGATCATGACATCGTCCCGGGAGAAACTTGTGGTCTTTGCCTTTCTGAGCACCCTTCTGAGAGACAGGAGTCCTCCGTATGCCTCGTGCTTATTAAACTCCGATAGATGCGACTGTGTCCGGATGTCCTCTTATTTCTTGCTGAGTAGACTGTAGCAACTTAACCTCTCTCTCTGTGTCGAGCACACGTCCTATGGCAAAAGCCTAAAAGAATAAAAAATGAGATGTTCTGCCCCAACAAAAGAATTTGGACTGGTCACAACATGACTCCAATGTTTGTTTTATTTTTTATGTATTTATTTTGGAGAGGTTTTTGCTATAGAGTGCGTGAGCTCACCAGAAAGACAGAAAGTGAGAAATCACCCCCCGCGGGGCTGGCCACACCGCAATCCCTTCTCCTCCATTCTCCTCTCAGGACCTTGGGCATGCATACACACATGCCCAGCGTGAGTTTAAGCCACCAGGTCCGGGACCCGAACCGCGGTCAGCTACATGGGAGTCCAGCGACATAGCCATTACACCAACTGCTGGTCCCCTGATGCTTTAGCAGTGTGACCATGATGCCTGTCCATCTAATTCGGAGATCGTGAAAGTGACACCCTTCCAGAATACCTAGCGGGTCCTCTTACCTCCCTGCACCCTCATTAGCATTTGTAATATTAATGCATTAGCGGTGCAGAGTCCAAAGTGTAGCGAGAGTTTCACAGGCCGCCAAGTCCCTTCTACATTCATGTTCTCACCTGGTGTTCACAATAACCTCCTGAACGAGGAGACTACCGCCGGAGCTGGTGTGCGGCCCTTTCACAGATCTTCAGCCCAGCAAGAAGGTTTTTACTGTCCGTGGGCCCGTGGAGAAAACGAGCTCAGAAAGGGCACAGAGCTTGCCCGCGGAGGAGCTGGGCTAGGAGGCCGGCTCTCCGATGAGAAGATCCTTCCGCACCAGCACAGACCGCTAGCTGGCCCTGGGGGAAGAAGGTGAAGGACGTAGGAACTTTCCAGGCGGGCTTGTCAGCAATACCGTGAGAGCACACGGAAGCCACACGGGGTGTTGGCTAGTTGGAAAAACTCAAGGTAAAAATTGCAGGAGACAAAGGCCCACATGGAGCTGGAGGAGTGCAGAGAAGGAGCCCTCGGGCCAGCAGCTGGCGTGGAGGTTAAGGCACACGGCCAACTGTGTGCTTCAAGTCCCCGACCCAGCGACTTGAAGAACAGGCCAGGCATGTGCGCCCAAAATCCCAAGAGACAGAGGAGAAGGGACTGCATGGCCGTCTGCATGGCTGTCTTCCTGGGGGGTGAGTTCTCACTTTCTCTCTTTCTCTCTCTCTCTCTCTCTCCCCCCAGTGAGTGCAGGTGCCCTATTTCAAAAACTGAAAAGCAAATAGAGAGCGAAGCACCCTTCAGGGGAGGGTGTGTTGGAGGGTGGACCCAGGTAGAAAGAGAAAGGAGAGGAGAGGAATTACGACCCAGGCAGGGAGCGATGAGGAGAAACTGCCTACCCACAGCCTGCCTGAGGCGAGCCTGGGCCCCTAAAGCCCCTTTGCCTTTCCCATCTCCTTCCCCAGAAAACTGAAAGCGTGGGGGGGTGGGGGGACAAGCAAGTAGTTGACTGCTTTCCCAGCTCCAGGCCTCCATGGGAGGGAGCCCTCGGGAACCCTGAGGAAGTGCGATCTGGGGCCCTTCCCTGCCCTCCCAGGCTGCCAGCGCCAGGCAGTCGGTTGGCTTAGTTCCATGACAGCAGTGCTCTCTTTTAAAAAGAACTTGTATTTATTATTATTGTTAGTTGTAGTAGTATTTATTATTATTGTTAGTTGTAGTAGTATTTATTATTATTGTTAGTTGTAGTAGTATTTGCTATAGGAGAGAGACAGAGAGGGAAAGTGAGAAAGTAAGCCACCAGGTCCTAGATCTCAAACTGTGGTAGGCCATGTGGGAGTCCAGCACCTTAACCACCATGCCACCTGCTGGCTCCCAAGCCACAACCTCCACAAGAAAAGGAAATACGGTAGGGAGCATCCAGCTCGCATCCCTTGAAAACCGCAGGAAGGCTCTAGGCGCTGCGTGGTGATGAGACGTGAAGCTCTGGGACGCGCACAGGGAAGGGCCGGGTTTGCATCTGGAGCCCTCCCTGAGCATGCCCACGATCCAGGCCGGACCAGGCTGAGATGGAGCATGCCAGCAAGACTCCAGCGAGGGTTCTCTCTCTCTCTCTGTGTCTCTCCCTCATGGGAGAAATACAGAAATAAACTGTAAAAACAGTGCTTTTTAAAACATTACATTAAAAATGCATATTTTATTTCCTGAACAATATGTCTATCACTCTTAGTTGCTTCAGTGAGGATCCAGAAAACCATCCATACAAAAAGATAGAAAGGGGTCTGCCCTATAGTACAGTAGTTAAGCACTGTGCAGAGATGGCCAGATTTCACGGGACTAGTAGGGTTCGAGTCCTGGCCCCAGAGACTTGAAAAACACACTGGGCACCTGCCTAGAATCCTAGTGGCGTAGAGAATTGTAGGAGAAAGGATTGCAGCATGACCAGGCCCCTCTGTAGGGCTCTCTCTCTCTCTCTCTCTCTCTCTCCCTCTCTCATATATGTCCTCTAGCAAACACTAAATTAAAAACCGAAAAAGACAGAAATAGGAAAAACTTACTCAGAATCCTGATCCTGCCCATTTTAACAGGGCCTCTCTCTTGCGATAGTTCAGAGACAGGGGCCGGCAGGTGGCGCAGTGGCTAAGGCACGTGGCTCACTGTAATTCCAGCCTGGACCCAGTGGACTGAGAATCACGCTGGGCACATGCATGTGCGTCCCCAAGATCTCAGGAGAAAGGAGAAGGGATTGCAGTGTGGCCATTCCTCCTGGGGGTAATCGCTCACTTTCCCTCTCTGTCTCCCTCTGGCAAGCTCACGCATGCTGTGGCCAAAATCTTAAATAAAAATGAACAAACAATAGTTCACAGACTGAATTCCATTTTAGCCCTGAGTATCCTCACAGTCTGCATATATAGGATACAGATTTCTCACTCGGGACTGCGGGACCTGGCAGACTTCCTGAGCCAAGCAGCCCGACCCTAGGTACAGGCCCTTGATACCCGTCTGCTGAGCAGACAGAAGATCGGCAGTTCAAGGCAAAGGTCTTATCGGCCTGGACTCTGAACCGCCGCTCTGACAAGGACGTTCCTGAGCCAGTCGGCGAGCTCAACGCTGAAGATCCAGTCTTTCTCATTTTCAACACTTTTTTTCAGGCTAGGAAAGTCATACTTTGAAAAACAGGTTTAACTGATAAACCCCAGGCAGTATAAAGCAGAATGTGCGAAAGTGCCCTAACACCTGGAAATCGCTACGTGGCTATGACAGCCACAGTGTCCCTGGTTGACAGAGCCTTCCTGGCTTTATCCAAATGAAATTCAGGGTCGCTGACTGGAACTTGTTCTCGGAGCTGATGACTAGCTGGAAATTGAAGACTTACCTTACAGAAAAGTCTAGAGTCTATCTCTTATCTGAGAGAACGGGGTTCTTTTTTTTTTTTTTTTTTTTTTGGGGAAGTTTTTTTTTAAAGGGGGGCGGCCCCCCCCACAGAAAGACAGAGAGAGACAGAGAGACAGAAATGGAGAAATCACCCCCGGGGGTGGGGGGGAGGGGGATGGCCACGCCGCAGTCCCTTCTCCTCTCGGAATCTTGGGCACACACGCACACACACCCGGTGTGAATGTAAGCCACCAGGTCCGGGACTCGAACCATGGTCAACTACATGGGAGTCCAGTGGCATAGTCATTATGCTAACTGCTGGTCCCAGAGAGAACAGAGTTCTATAGGAATTATACCAACTCTTTTAAACATATGTCAGGCCAGCTGTAGCACGGTGATTAAAGCGGGTGGATCCCATATGGCCAAACTGTGCAGTTCAAGTCCCAGACTCGGTGATTTGAGAAACATGCCAGGTGCATGTGCAAGTGTGCCCAAAATCTAGAAAAGAGGGGGAAACGGAGAGGGAAAAGGGATTGTGATGTGGCCATCTCCCTTAGGGGGTACTTTCTCACTCCTCTTTTCCCTCTGGCAAATGCATGTGCCCTCTGTCAAAATTTTAAAAAGATAAAGTATTTGTGGCCACGTCAGTGTTTTTCCTAGAACCCAATAAAATTTCGGTTAATAGCATGTATGTAATAGGTGGTTATATTTAAAAGCAAACATAAAAAGATTTTCTTTAAAGAATCATTTTCCTTAACTTTATTAATTATTTCAATTTGACCAGAGAGGGACAGAGCGAAAAAGAGAGGGCGGGGTGGGGAGTGGGGGTAGGAGAATGAGAGAGCAAGCCACCAGGTCTGGGACTCAAACCGTGGTCAGCCATGTGGGAATTCAGTGGCCCTAGCCACCACGCCAACTGCCGCCTCCCCCCCTTTTTAAATCATTTTATTTAACTTTATTTATTTATTTTAATTTGACCATAGAGGGACAGAATGGGGGTGGGGGAGGAGTGAGAAAGCAAGCCACCAGGTCTGGGACTTGACCCGTGGTTGGCCATGTGGGAGTCCAGTGCCCTTAACCACCACACCACCTGCTGGCCCCTCTGCAAACACAGAAACTTTAACAAGGAGGGCCAACTCCTTAGCACAGTGGTTAAGCGCTGTGTGTAGGGAGCCAGATCCTATATGGCCACTGAGGGTTTGAATCCGGTCCCCAGTGGGTGGAAAACACACCGTGTGCATGTGCATGCATGGCCCTGAATCCTGAGAAGATAAAGCGGAGGGGAAAAGATGGTGGCGTGACCAGACGGAGAGGTTTTCTTTCTCTCTCTGTCTCTGGTAAGTGCACACACCCTCTGGCAATACAAAACAAAAGCAAAGCATAAACAAGAAGGTTGCTAAGCAGTAGGAAAGCTGTGGTTGCATGATCCAGGAGCCATATGGGAAGGCCCCAGGTTCAGATCCTGGGTCAACCTGAACACAACAGGTGTGCCCATAGGCGTGGCCGTGATCCTGGCTGGGGGGTGGGGGAGGCGGAGGAAATTGTGGCAGGTGAGACCCTGTCAAAGATCTCTCTCTTTCTTTCATGAAATAAAGAAACTTCGAAAACAGCAAGCACCTCTGCGCTATTTTTTTAACTACTGAGAGTTTATGGTATCTCCATAAGTAGTTTAAAAAGCTAAATAAGGAACACATGCTCATTATAGAGGAAAAAGATTCTCCCCCATCTAGTTTTGTCAGTCTGCTTAATTGCCAGAGTATGCACTCACCAAAAAGAGAGAGCAAGCACTTCCACGACGGGGCGTGGTCACTCCCCAGTCCTCTTCCCCATTTCTTCAGCCCATCAAAACTCTGGGTATCTCCTATATGTTCTTAAGCCACCTGGGCTGGGATTCGAACCATGGCTGTCTGGAGGAATCCAGCACACTATGCAGAGTGCTTAAACACTGTACTATCAGGCCAGTCCTGGAAAAAAGACTTTTTTTTTTTTTTTTTTTTTTTTTTTGAGAGAAATTTTATAGGGCGCAAGTGCTTGCTAGAAAGACAGAGACAGAAGGAACCAGCAGTTAGCGTAATGGCTATGTCGCTGGACTCCCACGTAGTCGACCGCGGGTTCCGTCCCGCACCCGGTG